TTAGACTAAAGCAGTTGCTTTCAAACCACATCTGTGCTTGCAGCCACCTCACTTTTGCTTTTTCATAATGCAATTCTAATACTCTTTGTAAGTGTTTTTCTTTTTAAAAAGACTATGACTTTATAGTGTTCAGAGTGATTATCCATTGCTCTATGGTTGAAGGTTCAAAATCCTAAACACTGCATATGGTCCATTATAACATGGCTGCAGCCTTCATTGTCCCACTTTGCAAGTGTTCCAGTCACACTGAACAGTTCTTTTCTAGTTTTTTTTTTTGTTTGTTTTTGGTACTGGGAATTGAACTCAGGACCTCATGCTTGCTAGGTGGGTGCCCACTGAGCTAAATCCCTGCGAGTGAACAGTACTTTATTTACTTCACTGTACCATGAACTTTTTCAACTGTATGTCTGTGGATATAATCTTCTGTATCACTCCAAACATTCTTCCCTTCTCAGAAACCTATTCCTCCTTCAAGGATTTCATAGGCTTACTCAACAGGTGTGTGTGTGTGTGTGTGTGTGTGTGTGTGTTTGTGTTCTAAATACTTGATTCATTCTTACCTTAATTTCAGACTTATGAGAAGTATTTGTTTCATGAGTAGAAGATAAATGAACCCATAGTATTCTTCAGTCCGCTTGCCTCTGCCTTAAATATCTTGAGAGGCATATCTTGCTAATCTTTGTACTCATACTTAATGCATTGCTACTTGCACAGTTGGCACTCATTATAGCTTCTTGGAATTCTTTTCTTTGTGATGGGGAATAAAACTGATATAAGTCCTCTAAGCTCTTGCCTACAGTATATTTGTAATTTAGATGGAGAGATAGGAAGAATAGCAGTAGTAGGAGCCACATTCTATAGCATTTGCTCATCATAGACAGTTACACCATTCTTTCTGTGACTGATAGTGTTCTGATGGCTTTGTATTACAAATTCATCTAATCCTTAGAGTACTTTGAAGAAGTGGATATTGTTGTCATCCTTGTCTTATCTCTGAGCAAACAGAGAATCCAGTGAAGTAATATACCCAAAGTCACCAGCCAGATGGCAGTTTTGTCTGCCTCCAGAGTCTGTCCCTTTAACGCATTCACTAAACACAGGAAAGAGGAGAGAACACTCTATAACTCAACCCCTGCAGGAAATAAAGACAGTTATTTTTATTTTGTGAGGTGGGAGCTTCCTTCTAACTTATATAAAATAATATTGGACAAGAAACTTATCTATGTCTTTGTTCATGGTACTGGGAAGGATGGCATGTTTGCAGAGAAGCTTGTGCTGTATGGTTGGCCTTTGGCCCTTTTGTTCACCTTTGAAGTTGAGAACAAGTGAAATGCTATCCTTGAGTTAAATGAGTAACATGGACATTCCACAGGGGCACTGAAGGCTGTGTCATCAGAGCTTGAAGAAAGTAGAGATGGCACATGGCCTGTTGAGAACTGTAGTAACTGAGGATGGGTGAGAAAACTTGCCTGCCAAGAAAATAGCAGGAAAAGTATAAAAATCATTCTTTCCTGGATAGTTTCAGTTGATTATCTTCCCAGAGGGGATTCAGTTGTGATGAGGGTTCTTAAAGTTTGTGGCAAATGTTAGGATATGCCACCTTATTTTTATGTACTTGAAGCATGGCAGGTTGGCTTTTATCCTGAGACAGGCAGAGCCCTAAGAATAGTGGAACCAGAGATAGGTAGATGGTGAAGAGGTTTAGGGATTTTTTTTTTTTTTTTGCCACTTTAAATGTGATCAGCTTGGTAATTTTATTTTACTATATTTTTATCTGGTTATAGGTAGAGAATGACTGTTTTTGTCCAGACTAGTTCCTTGGAATCCCATATAGGTATAACCTGAAAAAACTTGACGCAGCTTAAGTATAGAATATGAACATGTCTGACACAGATTTGGGAGTCCTTGTTGAGCTGGCCATCTTTCTGGCTCATCCTAGCATATATAAGTGGATTTGTGTGTGTGTGCACATATGTTTTGCAGTCAGTGGGCAGTGTCACTCTGTATAAAGGCTGCTGTTGGCATTTTATATGCTGGAATTTTAAATATCTTATAATGTCTGTCTGAGTTACTCTTTTCTCATTAGTGGGACAAATACCTAACACCCACAATGAAGGAAGAAAAGGTTTAGTTAGCTCCCAGTTACTGGAGGTTTCAGTCCATACTCAGCTGGATCCAAGGCAGAGCGGCACATGGCAGAGAGCAACCTTTCATGGTAGAGCAAAGAGTAGAAAGCAAAGGAGGAACACCAGCAACAATGGCTACAGAGAGCAAATCTGTCTCCTTTAAGTTTCATTCAGGCTACATGCCCCAGGCTGGGTGTAGTACTCACAACCATATTCCCAGCAGCACTTACCCATAATCCCAGAGGATCATGAGTCCGTCTCATCACTGCATGAGGCTTTGGGGGGACAACTAGACACAAACCATAACAACGTCCTACCTTCAGAAACATTGAAGGGTATTAGATGTCCTTTCATAGTTAATAACTTAGAGATAAAGATTTGTGGTCTCTGAGCTTAAAAAGTGTACTACAACTCATGTGATTAAAAAAAAAAAAAAACAGAAGACAACAAAAAAACTTTAGTACTTTGCTTCAAAGAAGAGACTTCATGCAATCACAGAAAGCCTACTGATGTAACTGTAATCCTTATCTAGTTCTGACAAGTCAGCCATGAAATGGCAAACTGGGACATGAAGATGCTACTAAAATGGAAAATGTAGGCACTTTCAAGAAATGACTGCTGATCATGAAATGAAATAAAAGAACTATGAAAATCAGACACAAGAAATATCAAAGCACAGAAGTCTGAGGCTTTTAAAACTGAAGTGAAAAATCATCTGTTCTCAGCATTTCTTCAGGAAATGCTGGCATAGATCTCCAGTGCTCATAACTGTGAACTGAGTTAGCATGAGAAGTTAGTCTAGCTCAACTTATTTTGTTTTTAAGTGTCTAGAAGTGGGTAGGATACTTGTAAAAACTTGTAAGCCCTTCAGTTTCCTTTCACCATAAGTTCTCATTATGTATATGCATAAGTGAATCTATTTTGAAGCCAGCAGTGTATAGTATGTTCATAGACTTCTGTTTGTTTGTAGGCTGAGAGCAGTTTCAATGAAGATGAAGAAGAAAAACTTCAAGTTGCATTTTCTCTAGAGAAACAAGATCTTCACCTGGTTCTTGAAACCATATCATTTATTTTAGAACAGGTATATCTATTGCCTTAAATATCTTACAGTTTGTTTATTACATATTTGTATTGCTGTGATATCAGTTAAATTCTAATTCTTTTTTTTTTTTTGGTGGAACCAGGGATTGAACTTAGACCCTTGTGCTTGCCAGGGAAGCACTTATTTCACTGAGCCATCTCCGTGGCCCCACAAATTCTAATTTTTTAAAAAATGTGTACAAGATAGAAGCTGTGAACATAACTTTAATGAAGAATTTCAATATGGTTAAAAATATTTCAATATATGATTCCTTTCTAGTTATTTCATTTGACAAAAAACTGTTGAATTCTGTTAATAAAGATTTGACAGAGTGAATTGAGACTTTATTAATTTGAGAGAGTTATGAAAGATTTGAATTCATTGTTACTGGCATAATAATTTGGAAAAATGAATACATTTAAAAAATTTAATAAATAATTTGAGCTATATTTGACTAAGATGATAAATACATTTAGAATTGCATTGTCATAATATTATTCCTCTTGAGCTTCTTTTCTACTTCCATTCTTCTGGATCCCCTGAAGTTCATTCATTATTTAAGCACCTGTTGAGCCATCTGTCTTTTTGCTTTAGCCCTGGCCCCTTCTACATACATTCTTCCCTTATTTGAATTTCTTTTGTCCTTAGTACATTACAATAGAGAGTATTGTTAGTCTTTCATTATTTCAAGTGTGAGTTATGTTGCCTTCATTGGATTTTGAATAATTCAAGGACCAGGATCACGTGTGTGTGTGTGTGTGTGTGTGTGTGTGTGTGTGCATTATGTATAAGTTTAGCACACTGCTAGGCTTAAAATCAATGATGAATATATTCCTGTTAGTTGAATAAGTAGGATAGTTGCCAAATAAAAGATTGAATAACACTGTAGCTTTATGAGTATTCTAGTAAATGGATACTCTTAGGAAGACAGACTGCCAGGCCTCTACAGCTGTATAGATTGTAGATCAGAAAGATGACTGTGGCTCTTATTCTTGGTGAGCCTTCAGTAGAGGTGAGAGATAATCGAACAGGACAGCACAAAAGAAGGCTTATGAAAAAATTGGTGCAAGGGCTTGCCAGATAGCTCAGTGGATTAAATCACATGCTTAGGCAGATGCAGGGGCTGGGGGTTCAGTCCCCAGCATGCTGTGCTGGCTCCGCCTCCAGGGCACGCTCAGCTGGCATTTGAGACTGTGGTAGTGTGCGCCTGTAATCCCAGCACTTAGGAGGCTGAAAACAGGAGAATCACTACGAGTCCGATCCCTGTATACCCTGTACTAAATACATAAAAAAATAATAATAATAATTGGTACAGAATAATATAACAGAGTAGATATCACTTTTAAATATTTGTGACAGTTTTTTGTTTGTTTGTTTTTAGATTGTTTATTACCTAGGAAGTCAATAGATGAAGATGGTTTTGAAAACTATTCCTTGGAGAAAAATTTATTGAGAAAGAAAATCATGTGAAATTTAAATAACTAGTGAAATAAATGCAATGAAACTTTAATTAGGATACCATTTGAATAGTCAGAGCATAGAAGGTGTTTAGGTGATATAGTATTTTTTTCAATCACATGAAAAAATGAGATAACTTAGGCCTTTTAATCCTCAATCATTTAGTTCTTGTGTATAGTATTATTTGTAAAACAACCAAAAATCTAATTATGATAGGAATGTGAAATGTTCTTTTGATCTAAGTCATTTAAAAGTAATTTTGTATTGATTGAAGTCAAGGTCTCATATAATTTTTTCCTCTTTTAATAGGCAGTTTAT